AAGTATGTTCAAGATAAACAAACTCAATTTTTGGAAAGAAAAAATAACGATACCAGTTTGTCTAAATATATCACTTTTGAAGAAGGTGAAAAGGTTTATGTAAAAAACGTTAGGGGTGAACAGGAAAAGTGGAGTTATGGTATTGTTAAAGTTAAAGTTAGTTCGGTAACATATATTGTGATAGTAGGAGATCATGCTAGATATGTGCATGTGGATCATTTAAGAAAATGTCATATAAATAATAAAATTGAGTCTTCTGAAGAAACTCACATTCCAATTTTATACAAACCATCAAATGTCCCACCTGAACAAGCAAATTTAAATTTAAGTTCAGATGTGTTAGAAATTCCGAATATGTCAAACCCCCCGATTGTGTCAGTGCAAACTCCGAATTGTGGTGAAAAAAAATAGTGCGACGAAACTGAAAATAAATACGAGCTCAGAAAAAAATGTCTTCTTCTAGAGAAGATGATAGTGAATTTCTAGCATTGCGAAGATCAAACCGAGAAATTAAAAAGCCAACTAGATATTTAGAATAGGATTTTGTTTTGTTAATAATATTTTTATTTTGTTTAAGGGTAGAGAAATGTTAGATAATAGAAATACTAGCTAGTTTTTAGATAGACTGGACTGGTGATCTGGGATACTCAGCGGATAATTTAGAGCCAATTAAAAACCAGGAATATTTAAAATGCGATTTTTAGCGTCCGGAATATTCAAAAACTTTAGTTTTATCAAATTGACTTTGGAATGTTGGTTTTCCTGAGATTTTTATTTTTTTCAGAAAACGGTGGTTTTCGCAAACATATACTACTTTATCGTTGTCTTTGTCTTACTCACTATAATCAATAAGGAAACCTTGTAATGTCATTTTCATTGAAATTAAACTAAAAACAAGTTTCCTATGATTTATTTGGGGAATTTTAATTATTATAATCATTATTAATTAATTATTAAATTGAATTTTAAACAAAAAACCCTTTTAAAATGTTATTTTTGTTTTCCGAAATAAGATGTGGCAACGTTGCTTTTAGTTGGCCATTTTGAAGTGACGCCTTGTGATTTTTTGCCAGTTTTTCCTCGAATTTTCCACTTTTCCGAGGCTTTTCAATTGAAAAAGGCGATTTAACATACGAGGGTTTGAGTTTTCTTCATTTACTAGCAAAAATGTCCAGTTTCAAAATGACATAAATAACAAAATCCCATTTAAAATGGTTTTTTTGGAAGTTTTGATGTGGCAACACCGTTTGTGCCAACTTCAAGTAGGTTTTGTAATAAATGTCATTTGCCAGTTTTGACAGTCGGCAATTTTTAATTGACGTGTTCACATTTCTATCCAGTTTTTCCTCGAATTTTTCGCTTTTCCAAGCCGTTTTCAGTCAAGAAAACCGATTTGAAATACCAGGTTTTGAATTTCCTACATTTTGTGCTTAAAATTCCCAGTTTTTCCAATGGGGTAAGTGACAAAAACTCAAATTTCATTAAGTAGACTTTGGAATGTCATTTTTAGAGGTTTTTATTTAGATTTGTCCGCTTTTCCAGGGCTTTTGTGGTCGGAAAAACCGATTTAAAGTACGAGGCTTTAAGTTTTATTCATTTTTTAGTAAAAATTTCTAGTTTTAAATGCCATAATTAGCAAAATCCCATTTAAAATGCTTTTGATGTGGCAACATCGCTTGTGGCTGTCGGCTATTTTCAATTGACGTGTTTACATTTTTATTCAGTTTTTCTTCGAATTTCCACTTTGCCGGGTCTTTTTCAGTCGATAAAACTGATTTAAATTACGAGGCTTTGAAATTTCTTCATTTTCCACCAAAAATTTCCAGTGTTTTAACGGGGTAAGTGAGAAAAACTTTAGTTTTATCAAGTAGGTTTTGGAATGTCATTTTCGTTGTTTTTTTTTTTTGGAATTTTTATTTAAAGTTTTTGGGGTCCGGGGAACGTTTTCTACCACTTTTTTTCTCGAAATTCGCAAAATATGACGTTGACAGCTGTCAATTTTTTTTGACACAAATCGATAGTTGGCGTCGCGAAACTGCCTTGTACCGGGGTTTGATTTTCGTAGCTTTTGTAATAGAGCGGGGAAAAAGTTGAACATGTGTCAAATTTGACAGGTGACATCTGTCGATATTGACAAAAGTTTTATGTGAACGAATCCGTTCATTGTCAACTAATTTTAATACTCCAGCCCTTCGGGTCGTAATCTTTGAAACAAAAAGACGTAATTTTGTATCGATTGTCAAAAAACCCCAAGGTTTGAAATTTCAATTTTTTGACGTTTGTTGTATCATGAGCAGTGTTGCCATATGTTTTTTTTTTTCAAATCTAGAAATAGAATATTATGAAAAATTCCCTTCCCCCGAAGCAAAAAGTTTCTCATGGGTGGCGGCAAAACAAGCTCTTGCACGAGGGCGGCCAAAGAGCTAGAACCGGCCCTGACACCGTAGAGAACTAAAACTTGAAATATCAACTAAAAATCACATTTTGAATATTCCCGATTTTTGATTGTCTCCAAATTATCCACCCTAATTATCCACTGACCAATAGAATTATAGACTGGGCCCCGTAATTAAAATAACTTTAGCCCTTCGAGCTCGCGTATAACTCCGGCCCTTCGGGTTCGCGTATGACTCCGGCCCTTCGGGCTCGCGTATAACTCCGGCCCTTCGGGCTCGCGTATAACTCTAGCCCTTCGCGCTCGTATTACTCCGGCCTTTCGGGCTCGCTCTATTTGAACTCACTGACAGCATCCAAAACACACTGCTGAATAAAGAAGTAGCCATCTGCGCCTTCTTAGACATGGAGGGGGCTTTCGATAACACCTCTCATGAGTCAATAAAGAATGCGCTTGTCAGAAAAGGAGTGGACAAAACCACATCCACCTGGATGTGTGAAACGTTAGCCACCAGTGGGCCGATCCTCGAGCCAGGGAGTAGAGCTCCTCGAGAGAACAAATTTTTCGTCTTTATCATTCTCATTTACTTTTTGATTACGTTGACAAAGACAAAACATTCGTTCTATCGGGGAGCTCTTATCCCTGGCCCGAGGATCGGGCTTCAGAACTGCAGAAATGGATGTGGGGGAACAAACCATACAAGTCACCGCAGCGAGAGGATGTCCACAGGGAGGGGTACTCTCACCCTTCATGTGGAGTCTAGTAGTCGATGATTTACTAAATACACTGACAAACCAGAGCTTCAACTGCCTTGGTTACGCCGATGATATTGTCATCATAGCCAGAGGCAAACACGAAGTGTGACCTTATAGAAAAAGCATTCCGAACCACAAAGGAATGGTGTCAGACAGTGGGACTTAGAGAGAACCGGCTAAGGAACAAACAATGGCTAGATCAACCAGGACTACGACAGGCCAAAGATCTACTGGGTAGCTATAACCAAAAAAGATCTGAACTGCTGGTCAACCTTAGCAAGAAAAGTCTCAAAACTCTAACCGGGTATCTCTCGGGACATTGCAGACTGAATAAGCACCTACATAATCTGGGGTTGGAAGAAGGTAATACTTGCAGATTCTGTGAAGACGGTCGACGAATGAAGAATTTGGAAAGTCCCCTTATACAGCTGAAAGACATTCCAGCCCTGGAACAGCTAGACATCCTAAAAAAAAAAGGACCGAGGACTAGCTTTAAGCAGGAAACCCGAACTTAGCAGCAGAAGGAGGGGAACAATAGATCAACTTTGGTCGCAGTGCAACTGACACCTCCAACACATACATACATAGCCAATAAAAAAGCATTGCGCGCGCATACCAGGTAAAAATAAATACGTCTATTTTTGAGCGTTACAATAATTCTGATCGCGTAAGGGGAGTATGAACGGTACAAAGGTGGGATACACATACAGATCTGAAACTCTGATTCAAGGTCAAAAAAGACACGAGGCATGCATTCGAATTACACGGGCCTTCAACAAGTTATTTCTCTCTCTCGTTCAAATTACAGTCTTTCTACAGTCACGTGTAGCAACACTCACCGATTCCTATTATCCACGCGGTAAATAATAGAGCGAGTTGTTGCTAAAGCAACTAATTTCTCAGGTTTAGCACCTGGTTACGGTGTGTTTGGCTGCAACGTTTTCGCTTATTTTTGTGGCAAATAATATAATCCCCGCCACCATTTACGAAACAATTTTCCAACGGTGAAAACCGAAGGTGTCGTAAGCCGATTGTTTTCCCCCAGGGCGACAAAGCCGCTTTGGCTCCGTTTCGCTGCTCCTTTTTGCATCTTTATCTGCTCACGTGGCAAACTTTTTGCAATAAGAGGATTATAGCGATTTAGCGGTGAAGTAATTTGGTTCTCCTTAATCCTAGAGATGCGATAATTTTTATACCCAAAGTGCTTTTGATAATTTCGATTTTGTTTAGCCGAACTAAATCCGCATAATTTGATTTTAACCAAATCAATATATGGAAACGTGAATGACGCGCTTACACGGAAAACCACTCTTGCGATATCCGAATTTCGACGATTATCGTATGGGGAAATGGTCGGTTTTACTGTCTGTTTGTCATCGTCAATTTTAAGTGATAAAATGAAGAACATAGATTAGTAGATTGTGCATACTTGCATTAGTACGTTGTCCATTACTCTTTGAAATGTTGCTGGGGCATTGTTTAGTCTAAAGGGCATACGAGTAAATTCATTTTCTACATTGAAAGCTGTTTTACTTATAGAGTTTGGATGCATTTCAACTAGAATAGTCTTTCATATTAAACTACTCGCCTAAAACCACAAGACTTTATCATGACCCAAGAAAAACCGATATTGCACAGTACGTACAAGGTCTACGAGAGGTTGCACTTAACACACAGAACCTTCCACGATTTTGTTTGAATCACTAATGGCAAATGGCGAATGTAACAAGCCGGAGCTGGAAATCGGAAAAAAAAAACTGGAAACAAGTATGACATGTGTGTTCACTCCAGAATAATTTAAATCTGATTATTCCGAAACAAATAAAAAAAAAAACCAAGAAAGTACTCACCTTTATATTGCACCTTGTTAAATACGGTCGTGATCAGTCTGAGTTCTCCGTTTGGCGTGTCCCCAATCTGAAATCGTGACAAGAATACATTCGTTACTTTTTTATTTCCCCTGGTGGAAGCCCAAGTGAAAAATCTTGCAGAAAATATAGAAAATGTAGTGGTTATTTTAAAATTTAATGCTACGCGAGTGGAAAAGAGATTTTTCTATATTTTGAGCCGGTGTTTCTCGAATAAATTCAAATCAGAGCGTGCATGGGTTCGGCTCAGTCACGATATGGGGGATGGGCAGCCACTTTGGACTGATATGGTGTGTGTCGGGCTCAAATTAATTTCTCCTCGGGTCGGCCTAATAAAACGAACTCTTATAGTAATTATGTTTCGCCCACACCAACAATGTTGCCAGGATTTAATTAAGCTAATTGGATAATGTATCTTGTAGGTAATCAATAATGTTTTCTAGGTCTGAATTTTATCGCGCCCCAAAAAAAAAAAACATGAAAATCGCACCAATCGTATATTAACCGCATTTCACGGCACAGTGAGTCCTCTTGGACCTTCGTTGTGGCATCGGCACATACATATACGTCCCAGGGATTTATCTGGCATCGAAGTATGCATCTGGTATGCATTTTTACCCTCCCATGAAAATGGCCTTTTTTCGCATATTCCTAGTAAATTACGGTCACTCGTAAATTTCGTGCATACGCTACTTGATTTCCGGCTATACCAACTCTGCAAAATATACGGACGGATTAAAGTTGCAACTCTCGTGAGATATGTGAGACGGACACGATTGTGGATTTGGAATTAAATTTACGTGTCACGGTTTTTTATAGGCGAGAAAATCAAATTTCTATTTTCCTCCTCTTTTCATCAAGTCTATAAGCCAAGCAGGCAATTTAATCCTCGCAAATTCCCTTGCTCTCCGGGCGTTAAACACTGTTTTCGCCTCGTTCTAATTGCTAATTCTGTTTTAATTTTAATCGTCTAACTTTGAGAAGGATTTGTCTTTACCTACACAATCTCGACGGGGTTATGGATTAAATCCCTGTATTATATCTTAGAATGGACGGATAATTGAACATCTCGACGATAATACTGCGACGAGAGACTCGACTAGAGAATGAAATTAATTAGGACGGCACTAAAAAGCAATTCGTCCCGGAAGGAATTTTAAAATTAAATGCGCTTTTAATATAGACACTGACCACGACACTTTGGCTTTAAGACGTTTTTATTCACATCTCAAAGCCTCAAGAAATGATACTTCAACCCTCTGTGCCTCAATTTCATCTGCCTAATATAGTCTCAGAGGAACCGTAAAACCCTAAAAGGATAACCACGTTACAGGGCTTATCGACTGAATTCTGTCTAGGAAAATAAACATAGTTAAATATTTGCATGCAGTTAAACGACCAGAAAAAAAACCCAGATAGTGTCCGCTTTCAAATGACCGCCCGGCAAAATTTACGGCCTTAACAAATTAAATACCTGGCAATGGTGGCTTTTTAAAACGAACTCTGCGGACGAAATTCTTAAAATGTTTAAGCGATAACTGGGGACCCCGACGCCGAGGTTATCCCGAGGGAGAGAATGTGTTCGCAGCCTTTTTCGGCTTCCGTTTAACACAGGGTTTGGTTTCGGTTGAAAAGTTTTTCACGTCAACAAATGATAATTTTGTGTGGTGTATGTTCACATTTTCTTGCTATTTTATCCATAAACTCTCGGTCCATCAACCTTTGAAAGGTAGCTGGGGCGGAGTGGAGGCCAAAAGGCATAACACGAAATTGAAAAAGGCCCATGCCAGTGAAAGATGTGATCGGTTTACTCTCTTTGGACAAAGATACTTGGAATATTAACTGGAAATATATCTGGCTCCCCTTAACTTATCCAAGATGTATCCACCTCTTTAGTTTCCCAATCGGGTACAGGTGCAATCTCGGAATAACGTGCCGGTTTTTCCGCATTTAGAGCAAAACAACTTGGTATTCGGTCCAGAAATGTCCAGTTTCCCCACATCTCCAACAAATACTTGCGTGAAGGCCAGCATAATTAGTATTCCTTTCAGGTCGGTTGATTCTGTTAGGTCCTTCATTCCGTGGGTTGGGAGCAAAACGGTGGACAATACAGAGAGCGGCCGATTTTTAATTCGAATAGTAGAAGTTTCACTTCCCGGACCCAGCGGGAGAGAGATACAACGTTGCTGATATCGCTCTTTCGGATATGTTCTCGATACTCCGGTAAGAGGTTTCTGTATAACCAGTGGAACTCGCTTTCAGGTGTAATGTTCCCATGTCTTCTTATCAGGGTTTGTAAGTCGGTTATGTAGCGGTGTGGAGGCTCATTTGGTCTTTGCAGGCGGCAACTGATCTCGATTTCCAGATCAGCGGCCTAATTTGGAAAATAGAAGCTGCGGAAATTATGCCGGAATTCAGGCCAGGTTGTCCAATGAGCTCGGTTGTTACGGTACCATAGGGATGCATTGCCTTGTAAAAGTTCAGGCATGTGCAGTCAATTGAAATCCCCTGGAAGGCACAAATTTCATGGAGTCTCTCGATAAATGTCACCAGGTCGGTGCGGCCATCGAAATGGTCATCCAAAGATGACTGGAGAAGACAGCAGTTGTTGAAGGGTAATAATCGGTATCCTGATCCAAATCCTGAAAGTTTCAAGTTGCTGAGATGGCTGAAAGTATTTTTCAGGAACCTTCGAAGAGGATTGTACAGGAATTTTATGATTTTCTCAGGTATCAATAAGTAAAAAAGTTCATAGCTTTAATTATGAGTTCAATATCAACTTCCAGCTTGTTTTTATCATGGAGAAGCCTCATTTAACAAATCCTGAAAGTTTCAAGTTGCTGGGATGGCTGAAAGTATTTTTCAAGAATTTTCAAATGTGATTTTACAGGAATCTTATGATTTTCTAAGGTATCAATGTGTAAAAAAAATCGTACTTTAGTTATGGGTTTCATATCAACTTCCAACTTGTTTTGTATTATGAAGAAACTTCATTTAACAAATCCTGCAAGTTTCAAGTTGCTGGGATGGCTGAAAGTATTTTTCAGGAACCTTGAAAGGTGATTGTACAGGAATTTTATGATTTTCTCAGGTATCAATGAATAAAAAAATTCGTAACTTTGGTTATGAATTTCATATCAACTTCCAACTTGTTTTATATCATGAAAAAAACTCATTTAACAAATTCTTAAAGTTTCAAGGTGCTGGGATGGCTGAAAGTATTTTTCAGGAACCTTGAAAGGTGATTGTACAGGAATTTTATGATTTTCTCAGGTATCAATGAATAAAAAAATTCGTAACTTTGGTTATGAGTTTCATATCAACTTCCAACTTGTTGTGTATCATGAAGAAACTTCATTTAATAAATTATGGAACTTTCAAGTTGCTGGGATGGCTGAAAGTATTTTTCACGAACCTTCGAAGGTGATTGTACAGGAATTTTATAATTTTCTCAAGTATCAATGAATAAAAAAATTCGTAACTTTTGTTATGAATTTCATATCAACTTCCAACTTGTTTTATATCATGAAAAAAACTCATTTAACAAATTCTTAAAGTTTCAAGGTGCTGGGATGGCTGAAAGTATTTTTCAGGAACCTTGAAAGGTGATTGTACAGGAATTTTATGATTTTCTCAGGTATCAATGAATAAAAAAATTCGTAACTTTGGTTATGAGTTTCATTTCAACTTCCAACTTGTTGTGTATCATGAAGAAACCTCATTTAATAAATTATGGAACTTTCAAGTTGCTGGGATGGCTGAAAGTATTTTTCACGAACCTTCGAAGGTGATTGTACAGGAATTTTATAATTTTCTCAAGTATCAATGAATAAACAAATTCGTAACTTTAGTTATGAGTTTCATATCAACTTCCAACTTGTTGTGTATCATGAAGAAACTTCATTTAATAAATTATGGAAGTTTCAAGTTGATCGTATGGCTGAAAGTATTTTTCACGAAGTGATTTTACAGGAATTTCATGATTTTCTCAGGTATCAATGAGTACAAAAATTTGTAACTTTAGTTGTGAGGTTCATATCAACTTCCAATTTGTATTGTATCATGAAAAAACCTCATTTAACAAATTCTGAAAGTTTCAATTTGCTGGGATGGCTGGAAGTATTTTTCAGGAACCTTCAAAGGTGATTGTACAGGAATTTTATAATTTTCTCAGGTATCAATGAATAAAAAAATTCGTAACTTTTGTTATGAATTTCATATCAACTTTCAACTTGTTTTGTATCATGAAAAAACCTCATTTAACAAATCCTGAAAGTTTCAAGTTGCTGAGATGGCTGAAAGTATTTTCCAAGAATTTTCAATTGTGATTTTACAGGAATCTTATAATTTTCTCAGGTATCAATGTGTAAAAAAATTCGTAACTTTAGTTATGAGTTTCGTATCAACTTCCAACTTGTTGTGTATCATGAAGAAACTTTATTTTACAAATTCTGAAAGTTTCAAGTTGCTGGGATGACTGAAGGATTATCCAGGAACCTTCGAAGGTGATTGTACAAGAATTTTATTATTTTCTCAGGTATCAATGAATAAAAAAATTCGTAACTTTTGTTATGAATTTCATATCAACTTCCAACTTGTTTTATATCATGAAAAAAACTCATTTAACAAATTCTTAAAGTTTTAAGGTGCTGGGATGGCTGAAAGTATTTTTCAGGAACCTTGAAAGGTGATTGTACAGGAATTTTATGATTTTCTCAGGTATCAATGTGTAAAAAAATTCGTAACTTTAGTTATAGGTTTCATATCAACTTCCAACTTGTTTTATATCATGAAGAAACCTTATTTAACAAATTCTGGAAGTTTCAAGTTGCTGGGATGGCTGAAAGTATTTTTCAGAAACCTTCGAAGGTGATTGTACAGGAATTTCATGATTTTCTCAAGTATCAATGAATAAAAAAATTCGTAACTTTAGTTAGGGGTTTAATATCAACTTTCAACTTGTTGTGTATCATGAAGAAACTCTATTTAACAAATCCTGCAAGTTTCAAGTTGCTGAGATGGCTAGAAGTATTTTTCAGGAATTTTCAAATGTGATTTTACAGGAATCTTATGATTTTCTCAGGTATCAATGTGTAAAAAAATTCGTAACTTGAGTTATGGGTTTCATATCAACTTCCAACTTGTTTTGTATCATGAAGAAACTTCATTTAACAAATTCTGAAAGTTTCAAGTTGCTGGGATGGCTGAAAGCATTTTTCAGGAACCTTGAAAGGTGATTGTACAGGAATTTTATGATTTTCTCAGGCACCGATGAATAAAAAAAATCGTAACTTTAGTTATGAGTTTCATATCAACTTCCAACTTGTTGTGTCTCATGAAGAAACTTAATTTAACATATTCTGAAAGTTTCAAGTTGCTGGGATGGCTGAAGGTATTTTTCAGGAACCTTCGAAGGTGATTGTACAGGAACTTTATAATTTTCTCAGGTATCAATGAATAAAAAAATTCGTAACTTTACTTATGAGTTTCATATCAACTTCCAACTTGTTGTGTAGCATGAAGAAACTTCATTTAACAAATTCTGAAAGTTTCAAGTTGCTGGGATGGCTGAAAGTATTTTTCAAGAACCTTCGAAGGTGATTGTACAGGAATTTTATAATTTTCTCAGGTATCAATGAATAAAAAAATTCGTAACTTTAGTTATGAGTTTCATGTCAACTTCTAACTTGTTGTGTATCATGAAGAAACTTCATTTAATAAAACCTGAAAGTTTCAAAATACTGGGATGACTGAAAGTAGGTACCTACATAGGAAAGTGTATGATTATTCAAAAACTGTACATAGGATTGAAATCATACTAACATGGAAAGATTGAGGGAATAGTCAGAAACAGGAAAATACCAGTGGCGTACACTCAATTGACCTACGAATCATTGAAAAGAACGGTCCCTGCTCGGGGGCCAAATTTGTAACGGGTTTTTTTTGGTATTCGAAAGCTGTGGCAAGCTTATCGGTCAGGTAATACTGAATAATTTTCTTGTCTCAGTCCTTAAGGAACTGAGTGTCTTGTTCCACCAGGGCGCATTCCTCTTCACTACCTGTTACTTTATAGGACAACTGTTCTCATACGTTGTAAATATGAGATACTTTATAGAATAGAATTCTAGATCGCCTTCCGTCTGGATAACGCTAGGGAGATCGGTACTTTCTGTTCTTGATAGGTCTCTATACAGACCCCAGTTGGTAAGTTTTGGGTTCCTATAATTGAGAAGGCATTTTTCTGTGTCGAACCTGAAAGACAGCCGAATCAAAAACAAGTACCTTTCTCAATTCCATATGGTATGACACACATTTTATGATTTTTATTTGAATGTCTCCGATCAGTTAAATACGCTACTGACTAGTCCCCTTCAAAATACACAATTCCGAAATTGGTTTCGGTCCGCACCGTTAGGTGACACAACACGCCGTTTTAAATACACATTATACCCTCGACCGCCGAAACGCAATTTCGCGAAAATTATCCAAACTTTATCGGCTTCTGAACTATCCGTTACACGCTTATCACGTCGTTTTAGGTACATCATTGGATGTTTAGCTTAATCGTGGATAATTACTAGAACGTTCGTATGTAGTTAGAGGGAATTTTATTTGTGAAATTTATTAAGCTTTAGTTTTCATAAACAACTACGCCATTGGAGCGACATCATCAGTTCACGTTGACCAAGGCCTGTCGCATAAAGTCGTGCAGCGTTCCAAATAAACGTTCAACTGTCTCCACAGCCTTTCCAATAAAAAGCAAAATGAACACTTTGTGTCGCGTCACGCGTACATTTTCACAAAATTATTAGGTCCATGGCTGTCGGTTTATTGACTCCAAAACTGTTATTATTTTGAACATTTTGCTACAATGTACTAAGTAAATTATGGGTTATTAGCAGCTAATTATTACGATAATTTTAGGATATTAAAACTGGGCCTGCTCAATGTTTTAATGGCAAATACAACGCCCAGGCACGAATTAACTTGTATCTATAATTGATTTAATCATCATCGGCTTAAAACTCAATTAATTTATTACGAACGCGCCTCGGGATAACGTCAATTATTAACGAAAAGACGAGCGCAACTATGCAACTATGCGACAGGTAATTATAAATTTTCTTGAAGGTATCAACGCACAAACTGAGCAAAAGGCGAATCTTGCACTTTGTTATCTTTCATACGCGAAATTTAGATCTCAACTTTCCAGCTTCTTAATTAAACTTGCAACGAAACTTTCCGTCAGCAACTTATAAACAATAGGTGAAATTCATTGTAGTTGTAGTTCATGTGGGAGGGACGAAATGTCTCTCTGTTGCTGTCGATCTTGTGGTGGTTGGTTAATCCAGATAAATCCCTGGCAACATTGAATTGTTTGTAGGGTTGCAAAAACACTTGACTATTGAAGCTACGGTTTCTTTTTTTTTTGTCAAAAGCTATTAGCCATTACTCACCTGAAAAATAAATGCGAAAAACACAAAGTCAATTTATTTATGAGTCGTCGCGACGCCACCCCGCGTACAGCTTAAATTTAAAATGAACACAAGAACAAAATTCAAATTTCGTATTCATGAAAAACGTTCGGCTGTCTCATAAATACAACTTACCTGCACCATTAGCGAGATGGCAACGATTCCCTGTGATTTATGTTGCGCTTCCGACATGTTATGATATAATTCTTTATTAAATCCGTAGAATTGAATCTGAAACGAGAAATAAAAATACAAATTAAGAGTGGCACAACATTGAATAGTTCTTTGAATTTTATCATTTAATGTTTTTGCAATGGTATCAGAAAAAAATCCAAAGAATTATGTTAAGCAGATAAATTCAATAGGCAGTGTAGTGGTAAATGTATCTGCTTTGCATGCTGCAGGTCCCGGGTTTGAATCCCGGCTAGGGACCGACCATGTATTGCAAATCGGACCATCTTAGGATGGAGGATGCATGATAAGGCCGACCATCCAGACTCTAGTATGAATAGAAAGGAGTAGAGTCTATGCAAATAATGTACAATAAACCACAATGCAGTGAAAGGGTGAAAAAAAAATTAATAAATCAAGAATTACATTTTACGGTTTTTAAAAGTAAACTGAAACAAATTTGTTAAATACCTTAAAATTTGCCTCGTTGCACTCCTGACTCCACGAGCGATTAATAAAAGTGAAGATTGCCAACTTGTTGGTATTTAGATTTAACCACAGGCGAAAATTAATGAAAATTAATGGAAGGTTAAATTTAATTAACCCGACGAAAGTTTTCCAAGTATACCGGGGATCGGTAAATTGATAATAATGCGATTAGTAGAAATTGTCGGGTATATTTTGCATTTTTTTTTTTTTTTAATAATTTATTATTATCTGCAGTCGAAAAGTTTCTGTAACAATATACGACCCTTACGACAGACTTCCGAAAACTTTACACACTTGAACCTGGGATAAGACAATGTCGATTAAACCAACATTTTAGGGATTTCCGGAGGAACTTTTGAAAACTTTATAAACATATCGGCAGCATGGGTGCATATATTACCGGCTTTTTATTCCAATGTCTTGCTTATTCTAGACACATGAATCTGTTTCCCCTGCTTCAAAATACTCAAAGTTTGCGTAAAATCTCCATAATGTTACTTTAATCGACATCTTATCCAAGGCTTGTGAAACTTGAACAACATGAAAAGTTAGATATAATTGGTAAAGTTCGCTTTATAAAATTGTATAAAAAAAGATTTCGCTTGGGACTAAAATGAGAGGACTGAAATATTCGACACATAGATTCCTATTGAAGCAAAGTGAAAAGCCCAATATATTCACCCATTCAATGTTTATGCAGTTATCGGAGGGAAGAGTCCATTTGGGAAACGCGCGGTTCTCCAACGCCAAAAAGGAAAATATATTCCGGTCGTCTCTCCCGTCTCAAAAGAAAAGCCAAATCGATGGAAATAAAGTAATAACAGAATAGATACATATCCCAGTCCATCAGGCAGAATTCGAAGAGAAATTCAATACTGCCACGGCGAATTTGTATAAGAAAGGGGGCGGCTTTCACGAAATAAAATGCAATAAAAGCGGTGGATAAAAATTGCTGTCGCTGACACTGCCCGAAGGATGGTTCTTGGACTATTAAATTGGAAATAGGGAGGACAAAAAAAAAAAATGTTAACCCTAAACAGAGCTGCTAATGTTTGAAGTGAATTACTTGAAATTCCTTATTTGTAGAGAATTTAATGCTCTTTCCAATGGTATATAATTTATTTAAATTTGCTTCAAATTCAACAAAGATATGAGCAATTGTTCATAACCATGTGAAGATTTTGAAAATCTCCTTTGATTCTGATTTCAAAATATTCAAACCTCAATTGCTCAGTAACCCTCGGGCAAATTACATTGAAATTTCTAGCATTTGTAGCTCTTATTAAGCTCTAAATGGCCTGTAATTAACAATATTCCTAGATTTATAGTTTTTGAGCAAATTGAGTTTGAAGTTTTTGACAAAATTTGGATTTTGAGGCAGAATTGCTCAAAAACTACTTGAGCAATCCAACTCAATTTTAGACAGATTTATAGAGAATTTAATGCTCTTTCTAATGGTGTATAATTTATTTCAATTTGCTGGAAATTAAATAAAAATATGAGCAATGGTTCATAATCATGTCAAGATTTTGAAAACTTTTCAGAGCCAAAAATAAGATTTTCTTTTTAATTTTGTTTCTGCTAAAAATGGCTATTTGGAAATAATATCAGGGTTGTTTTCCACTAATTTTGACCCACTCTATCGATTGGTGAAATCAAAATTGAGCAAAACTCAAAAATACAAAAATCGAGTTTTTCATAAGGACACCTACCCCCTTTGAATTTTGATTTCAAAATATTCAAACCTCAATTGCTCGATAACCCTCGAGCACATTGTATTGAAATTCTCAGAATTTATAGCTCTTATTGAGCTTAAATGACCTGTAATTTACAATATTCTTAGGTTTATAGTTTTTGAGCAAATTGAGTTTGAAGTTTTTGACAAAATTCGGACTAAAAGTCAACTTTGAAGCGTAATTGCTCAGAAACAACTTGAGCAATCCAACTCAATTTTGGACGAATTTATAGAAAATTCAATTCTCTTTCCAATGGTATATAATTTATTTTAATTTGCTTGAAGTTTAACAAAGATATGGGCAATGGTTGATGACCATGTCAAGATTTTGATAATTTTCTAGACCCAAAAATAGGATTTTCTATTAATTTTTGATTATGTTAAAAATGGCCATTTGGAAATTATGTCAAGGATGTTTTCCACTAATTTTGACCCGCTCTATCGATTGGTGGAGTCAAAATAGAGCAAAACTGAAAAATAAAAAAATCGAATTTTTCATAAGGGTAGCCCCTTTGAATTCTGATTTCAAAATATTCAAACCTCAATTGCTCGGTAACCGTTGAGCAAATTGCATTAAAATTTTCAGCATTTGTAGCTCCTATCAAGCTCTAAATGGCCTGCAATTCACAATATTCTTAGGTTTATAGTTTTTGAGCAAATTGAGTTTGAAGTTTTTGACAAAATTCGGACTAAAAGTCAACTTTGAAGCGTGATTGCTCAAAAACTACTTGAGTAATCCAACTCAATTTTAGACAGATTTATAGAAAATTCAATGCTCTTTCCAATGGTATATAATTTATTCTAATTTGCTTGAAATTTAACAAAGATACGAGCAGTTGCTCATGACCATCTCAAGATTTTGATAATTTTCTAGACCCAAAAATAAGATTTTCTATTAATTTTTGATTATGCTAAAAATGGCCATTTGGAAATTATGTCAAGGATGTTTTCCACTAATTTTGACCCGCTCTATCGATTGGTGGAGTCAAAATTGAGCAAAACTGAAAAATAAAAAAATCGAATTTTTCATAAGGGTAACCCCTTTGAATTCTGATTTCAAAATATTCAAACCTCAATTGCTCGGTAACCGTTGTGCAAATTGCATTAAAATTTTCAGCATTTGTAGCTCCTATCAAGCTCTAAATGGCCTGCAATTCACAATATTCTTAGGTTTATAGTTTTTGAGCAAATTGAGTTTGAAGTTTTTGACAAAATTCGGACTAAAAGTCAACTTTGAAGCGTAATTGCTCAGAAACTACTTGAGCAATCCAACTCAATTTTGGACGGATTTATAGAAAATTCAATGCTCTTTCCAATGGTATATAATTTATTCTAATTTGCTTGAAGTTTACCAAAGATATGGGCAATGGTTGATGACCATGTCAAGATTTTGATAATTTTCTAGACCCAAAAATAAGATTTTCTATTAATTTTTGATTATGCTAAAAATGGCCATTTGGAAATTATGTCAAGGATGTTTTCCACTAATTTTGACCAGCTCTATCGATTGGTGGAGTCAAAATTGAGCAAAACTGAAAAATAAAAAAATCGAATTTTTCATAAGGGTAACCCCTTTGAATTCTGATTTCAAAATATTCAAACCTCAATTGCTCCGTAACCGTTGAGCAAATTGCATTAAAATTTACAGCATTTATAGCTCTTATCAAGCTCTAAATGGCCTGCAATTTGCAATATTCTTAGGTTTATAGTTTTTGAGCAAATTGAGTTTGAAGTTTTTGACAAAATTCGGACTAAAAGTCAACTTTGAAGCGTAATTGCTCAAAAACTACTTGAGCAATCCAACTCAATTTTTAACAGGTTTATAGAGAATTCAATGCTCTTTCCAATGGTATATAATTTATTCTAATTTGCTTGAAATTTAACAAAGATACGAGCAGTTGCTCATGACCATCTCAAGATTTTGATAATTTTCTAGACCCAAAAATAAGATTTTCTATTAATTTTTGATTATGCTAAAAATGGCCATTTGGAAATTATGTCAAGGATGTTTTCCACTAATTTTGACCCGCTCTATCGATTGGTGGAGTCAAAATTGAGCAAAACTAAAAAATAAAAAAATCGAATTTTTCATAAGGGTAACCCCTTTGAATTCTGATTTCAAAATATTCAAACCTCAATTACTCGGTAACCGTTGAGCAAATTGCATTAAAATTTACAGCATTTGTAGCTCTTATCAAGCTCTAAATGGCCTGCAATTCACAATATTCTTAGGTTTATAGTTTTTGAGCAAATTGAGTTTGAAGTTTTTGACAAAATTCGGACTAAAAGTCAACTTTGAAGCGTAATTGCTCAAAAACTACTTGAGCAATCCAACTCAATTTTTAACAGATTTATAGAGAATTTAATGCTCTTTCCAGTGATATATAATTTATTTCAATTTGCTTAGAATTTAACAAAGATATGGGCAGTTGCTCATGACCATGTCAAGATTTTGATAATTTTCTAGGGTCAAAAATAGGATTTCCTTTTTATTTTTGTTTCTGCTGAAAATGGCCATTTGGAAATTTTGTCAGGGTTGGTTTCTACTAATTTTGACCCATTCTATCGATTGGTAAAGTCAAAATTGAGCAAAACTGAAAAATAAAAATATCGAATTTTTCATAATGGTAACCCTTTTGAATTCTGATTTCAAAATCTTCAAACCCCAATTGTTCGGTAACCCTCGGGCAAATTGCATTGAAATTTTCAGAATTTGTAGCTCTTGTTGAGCTCTAAATGGACTGTAATTTATAATATTCCTAGGTTTATAGTTTTTGAGCAAATTGAGTTTGAAGTTTTTGACAAAATTGGGATTAAGAGTCAATTTTCAGACTCAATTGCTCAAACACTATTTCAGCTATCAAACTCAATTTTGCACAGATTTATAGAGAATTTAATGCTCTTTCCAATGGTATATAATTTATACCAATTTGCTTAATTAATATTCAACGAAGATATGGGCAATTATTAAGTTCTAAAATATACTTAAAGTAATGCAACTTTGAAGTAAATTACTTGATTGAATTCAAGTAAATTTCAAGTTTAGTTGATAATCAAAGTATAATTTTAAAAAACTTGTGCTTGTACTTCAAGTACTTTCGTAATGTACCTAGAAAGAGTATATCTACAATATAATCTAAAAAAATCTCTTTTGCTTCTTTTAAGTTCATCAAAAGATGCCGAGCATGTTACCTCGGTGAACTGGAACCTCAAAATTCTATAAAATGTCATTTGAATTCACCCTGTATAAGACATTTTTCTAACACAAAGGGTTAAATGGCCGGGAAGTTAGAAACAAAGACCTGGTGCAATATAAGAAGTTATAATCTCACCGAGGATTAGTTCTTTTCTCGAAATATTTCATTTAAGATTTGTCTTGAGAGAAAATTAATATTGGAATACCGTATAAGAAATATAATAATACGTACGTTATAGACAACAAAATTGTTATTCTAGTGCACCTCTTTATGTCGCGAGAATGCACTGTGTGCCTTTCGAGAAAGACGCACGATATTAGCTTTGGCACATTTCTCGACGTAATAACCACGATCCGGCATGTTTAAGATTCTCTGATGCCTTATATTTGCGGGGGACAAAAATGGTTTTTATTGTGTCATAGAGTTAGCAATTTTTCTTTAGGGAAAAGTATGTCGTTGTGGGATAAAAACCATAGTATACAGTGTTATTGATATTTTAACGAGCACTGGTGTCATCTTTATGTCTTAGGGCGGGTATTATAAAACTACTTTGAGAGTTAACTTAAAGTTAACTTCTGAAATTACATGTAATTCAAAAAGTTAACTATCAAAGCAGTTTTATAATACCCGCCCTTAATCAGATTCAACTTTTCCATCATTTGAAATATAGTAGACATAAAAAAAACTTCGACAGAGATTTATCCGTAATAAATGTATATTCGTCGCGTGAGTGGGCTGTTAGTAAGCTCCTCTGCCACTATTCTCTTAACGACAACCGCTACATCAAAATGAGTGACGTGAGGAATGTCTTTATTTTGTATGCGGGCGCGGGAATGGGCAAATAAAATAAAAAATCACCTCTGCCAAGAGAGAGGAAAGTTTCTCTCGTTTAATCCTTATTTTTCTAACCTTGGAAAAATCGAAATAACTATTGGTGACTGTGATTATTATTCAAAGCAATTTAATACCTATTTTATATTGTAAGGTAGCTGTAGAAAAATAAAATCACCTCCCAAGGCGAACACTTTTTAATGACGATCATTTAAATGTCGCTTTCCGTAAATCAATCGGCTGCAAATATATATTCTTCTTTCCTTTTTAAGCTGCATTATAACAAGCAGCTCTAAATTTAACGAGTTCCTTCGCGTTTTTTTTTTTTTTTTTGTTAAACACTGCTCCTTGGAGCGCGTCTTATATTTCAAAACGAACCGTTTTTCTTTCGGAGGGCAAATGATGTTGTTGCGACCGCCTCGTTAAAACGCAACAAACCACTTTTGTTTGTCAGAAAGGAGAGGAAGGAGAAGAACAAATAATGCAGATCTTGGCAGGTAGTTTAGTGATTTCTAATTTTCAATTAATGTGTCACAGCTCAGGTGAGCCAAAACTCAAATAAGCTTTCAATATACTAAAATTTGCCTACATCAATTACCTACCAGTGCGTAGATGCTTTCAGATTTAATTTACAAAGGCAATTTCAATTAAAATGTATTAATCACCTTATTGCATGCTACCTAATTGACTTACTCTAAGGTTTCTGTTATCGCTGGTGTAAGTACACACATAATATTTAATAAATAATAAATAAATACTGCAACTCACCTCAGCAGGAAACGAATACCCCTGGATATGGTGCTCGGAGCCTTGCTGATTATCAGTGCCGTAGTGAATGTAAATCTCCTCGAACTGGTATCGATACGCCAAAGGTCCTCCTGATATATTCACATGTTGTTTCGTGTCCTTATCGACACGAAATACTAACGATTGGCCAGTGTTGTGCAACGTGCCGCTCACCTGCAACAAATTCCAACCATTAAATTCGGTTCCGTTTTAATCAGTTACGAATTTCCATATAATTCCCGGGCTGCGCGTTAATTACATGGGGTCTTGCTATAGTTACTCTGCCGAGAGCATTCAGAGAGAATCCACTTCCGACCGCAAATATTGCTTTTAAGCTTTGATTTGTAGGTGTTAAGACTGCGGGATGAATTGCAATAATTTTGAGGCTTATATCTGATACGATAATGGAACTATTCTGTATGTACATGCGATGGCTTTTGGTTCATTGGAAATTTAGGTGATTAGGAAATATTAACAAAACATTTTGTTAAAAATCTTTCCCTCTCTATTATGAAATAATAGTTAAATTTTCAATCGATGGAAATATGTTTTGAAGCTATCAAGAATGCACGTTAAAAATGCATAAGTTTTAGAGTATTTTCAGACACTTCCTGGCTCATAAATTTCCACTGCCAGATGCTCGGTTAACAATTCCAACAGAGATGGACCCACTATATTATTTCCTATTCACATTTCGTTACAGTATATGAGTCGCACTCCGTCCCTGTACTCTTCCGCATAATTTCACCCTGAATTTTTGATGACACGTCGGGCCGACAAACGAGTCTGTAGCCAACAAGAAACAACTTGAAAAATATCGTCGGTCATCTATCAAACTGCGCCGCGGCGCCAGTGGTGGTTACACACTAACAAGCGCTCTCTAATGATCAAAGCCATTACACCCTAGGGGGTTTTCTAAATAAAGTATTTATTTTTCGGAATAATAGAATTCAAATTGCTACTTTTGTATTAAGACCGGTCGGGGGTTATTTTCAACAGGCGAGAGTTTCCTATATGGCGATACGTGCTCAATCAGCCAGGCTCTCTCCGGCCGGTCCGCATCAATCCTCTCCAATTTTCCGCAATCCGATGTGCAATATAAATGAATGTGCAATTTTAGGATTGATGAAAATGTTGCGGTTCGCTTGCGGTGAGACTCAGTAAATTCATAGTGGAAACAATGCAATTAATCGACAGAGAGCCCCAGTATTTTGGCAGGACTACTACTACCACCATCCACGGATTTATTTATTCGTTTCTGAAAAGGGTTCATTACAGGATTTCGCACATCAATCGAAATCTGCGAGCGGAGAATATTTTGATTCTAATAAATTCGAGTAAAGTGTTTTCACAGCCATCACGTAGTGGGATCATGATCATTTAACTGGAAAATAACGAGGTCCAGCACAGCACATAGTATTTGTAATTTAAACTACAAGCTGTCCAGTTTCATTCCCGTGTTTTTTTCACAATTTAACAGGATATGATAGTCATCATATTGTGAAAATTGATTGATAATCTTGCACAAACTAAAGAAAAATACATTTCATTCACAAAGTCAATATTGGTTGACTAACTCAAAATTTATTATGCCATTGCATTTTGCTTTCAATAAATCAATCGCCATCTCGAATATGCAAGTAAAAGTTTGGCAATAAATTAAAACAATAGTCATCTCCGGAGATACCTAGACAAAACTTTACATGTACTTACTTTGTGCTTGTCTATGTGTATGTGCCTTAAGTACGGATCGTAAAGTAACTTCTCAGGTTCGACGTTTACTGGACTTTGTCTTCTGCCTCTGGAACACATATTCCATTGCGGATTCATCAGACCCCAATAGGCCGGACCTAAAAAAGGAGTGGAAACTTACATTATCAGTGTTGTATGTGCTTCATAACTTATTTGTGACTTTTAACAAGATTTTAATTTATCTTATACATAGTTACAGAAAACGGGATGATGAGCTCGGCATAACAACAGAAGGGCGTTTCTATGATCTTCCGAATAAAGATTTCTTTACATTTCCTTTTAGGTCAATTGAGTTTCCCCATGAAAATGCACGCTGTGAGCGAATCTTTGCGGTTTAAAGGAAATATAAAAACGGGATTGGGGAGACGACTTCGTTAAAGTAAACTCGATCAGACTTTGTTACGGAACAATATGATGGGTTTCAATCAAGGTTTTGCAGCTTAATAAATTATACTTCTGCCATTATTTTGTCAGCATCTTACCAGAAAACAGGTAAAGGGCGTGTAAGGGTGCCTTTAGCCCTGTTTAATCTAAAAAAGCCACGATAAAACCATATTCCATATAGCGGCCAAGTTTATTTTTTTTATGAGGTGAAGAAATAGGCCGTTAAATTATATTGACTCGTAAAAACCATTTATGTCAAACCAATTTGCCTTTAATTAACCCCTGGAAAGTTGTAAAACTGAGTTATGGTTTCAAATTATTTCTTTTATCGCTCGAAAGCTTAAATTATTGTAGCTATATGTATAGTGTATACGGAGCCGCAGTTTTAATAGTGGCAAATAAAAATCCTGTCTGTCTAAAAAGTTTTCTGAAAGAGTACACATCGAGTCTGTTTGTAATTCACGGCGACTTCTCTGTGTTTTCTCCTTTCTTTTCGCTCCTTTACCCGAAGACCGAGGGGTTATCGCTCAATATTCTCCGACCGAAGGCAACTAATTCAACTTTTAGACTATTGTTTTACGCTTTTGCCCGTTTCATTGGACTACTTCAATCCACGAGAGGAATTTCTAAGGGATTCTGTTTGCCAACTTGGCAAACTTTCGCTAATTCCATGTCGTATTTAACTTTCAACAGTCTTCGGGGACTGCACTAATAGTTCGAACTTCAATTATTAGTTTTTTTACCTTTTTTCGTGATTATTTTATTGAATATCCCATAGTTTTTGTCAAATTTGAAACAATTTCCTGAAGCTTTTTTTACAGCCATTGCCGGCTTTAATCTTGCCGGAATGGCGGCTTAAATTAATGACACGTTCCCGAATTTATGACGCTTGTAAAACGCAAATATCAACTCTAAACGGTTGTGCTGCCTCAAAATGTCAACTTTTACGAGGCTCAACAAGAATCCAATCTCAGCGACATATTTTAAATATGCCTAAAATAAATTAGTAATTTGTCTAGTTCAGAATTAGTTATAAATTTGGTTGGCGTGTCAAATCGATTCGACTCTAATGCGGATGGAAACTTGACGGTTATTTAAAGTTCATCAAATTTTGATTATAACCCGACCTGTAATGTGTCACTGTTTCAATAAACATGCTCGAGGGAATATTGAGACACTGCGAGCGGGCTTTCACTCATAATCAGGATAATTGAAAACTCCGAAAGCAGTTCAAGCTTCACTAAACATGTGAGAAAACGTAGATCTTTGAAGATAAGATTAGATAAATAGTGTTATTATGATAACATACATCACGAGACAAGAGTTATGTTTTAAATTAAGCTTCTTCTTCTGTAGCGATCTTTCAACAAGTCCATTCGATCACGGATATCTGGGACTACTTGTCTGAAATAACATCAGGTATTCCATGTGTCGCAAATATTTGTTTCACTTGATTAAATAATCTACAATTACCTAATATGATTTTCATCCATAATCCATGATATCACATCCTAACTTTTGGAAAGGTAACTCAGGAATATCATGTGATATGAGTGGTTCTTTTACATTACCATATCTATATCTTTCACACAACTGACACTGCCGGAATTTCCTTATCAATATCTATGCTCATTCCATGCCAGAATAATACACTCTGTGCCCTATCTCTTGTACGAGTTATGCCAAAATAACCTTCATGTAGTACTTTTAGCATATTTTTACGCAATAATTGAGGAACCACCACCCTTTCATTATAAAAGATGAGATAGCGTCGTAGGGTTGTATTGGGGATCATGATCGCTGTATGACCTGGTGTTTTAGACATTGCCAAGTTTTACTCTTACTTCGTAATAGTTGCGATAATGGTGGAAATGTGGATTCCTCATCCTCATTAATTTTCACTTGATTAAAACCTGAGTTATTGGTGTATTGAGTCCCTGTAATATCAGCTAACTTCACCTTTCGAAATACACATCAAAGTAAGCCTTGGGCGGCCATTATTAAAAATGGCCGTAGTAGTATTTGTCTATTCCCGGCTCTCGAATTTGTCTCAATCAAGAGCCTGGAAGAGAAAAAATATGAATATTCACATTTTTCCATCTCAATTTTTGTTTAATTCATCCTACAATCGTGCTTGCTGAGCTAGCATAGGACTAATTCTTATTACTGATATCCTGAATCATTTGGTGATGGACATATGATTATTCTGTAATATGTAAATGAGTTATTAAATATTCGAATCCCGTTTATTAAAATCCTTTCAGTGTTTTGTGTCGGCAGCAATCTACTGGGATTTCTCCAAAAGAGCAATACTGTGTTCTTTATATAACGATTTATTGAAATTTTAACATTGCACATAGCCAAAATCTAATTATAAACTTTATATATGCATTAAATTTAATAGTGCTGGAGCTAACTTTTTCGATATTTACTTAAAGCTTTTAGTGCATCAGAAGCACTTTAACCCATGTATTAATATTTGAAAAAATTGGATGCTAGAAATAGTTGTCGGCACATTTATTTCCGACAGAAAAAAACAGTGCGACACATAAAACCCGGCACGGCACGCTGACAAGTGTTTATTTGGCCGAATGGCACACTCATAGTCATAATTCAAATCCTGCTCATGACACCGTATTTAAACGGGCTTAATGCCTCGTCCAGTTGAATTTTAATTTACACTCGATAAAGTTGGGGTCATCTGTAGTTGGCAAATAAACTGGGGAAAAAAATGTACAATACAAGAATTTGCTAACTATTCATCAGACCGTTTCTGAAATAAAGTAATCTCTCTCTCCGTATATTTCCTTTTAATATTGCCTTCTTAACGCCACTGTGAGAGATACGACGTCGCCACTCTCTAAATTACGAGAGGTTGAGCCAGTTTAGCCGTAATCTGGCTGAAAGCTGTCTAAATCAACCGGGATACCGGAGATTCCACGGCGGCTTGCGCCACCTCAACCATTTCTTGTAAGTCAGATAAAGGAACGTTTCATTTAGATTGCTATTTCAGTAAAGAGATTGACTATTTTAAAGTCCTGATTATCAACAATGAGTTATATTCTATTGATTATTAACAATTAACATCCAGGTGTCTAAATTCATTAATCAATAGAAATTTATTTATGATCGCGTGACCAGTCCGGGTCAATTATTATCGAAAGAAGACGAATGGATATACAGAAAAAAGTTTAATGAGGGTGTCGCAGATGGCTTTAAAGAATCAATTACGATTGTGGGGAAAAGAAAAACGATTGCGAACAAAAAGTTTTCCAATTAATAACTGAGCTGCTTTTTAATATAGAATCTCAAGGTAAATATTAATGATACTGAAAAGCAAAACTTTTCAGGCAAAAGCCCGAGAGTGTACGCCACCTTTATTCAACTTCATTCCTCTCGAGTCTGTTTTAAAACTCTTAAAAGAAAGCGCACTGACATAAGGCTGTCCGGCGCGACTTTGATAAATTGGAAGGAGTGATCGAATACCGGGGTTTTCTCCATCAATAGAAGATCTTCCCTTTGATCTAGATGTACTTTTTCAAAGACTAATGTTATTTTTACCGGAAAGGAAAGTTTAAAAAGGGATCGTCCTTGCAAAGGGAAAACTTCTATGTTCAAGTATTATCAATATTTATGCTGAAATTGACTATATGCGAAAGTTAGTTTAATTCCGTTCCAAACGCGAACTGCTTTCAATTTAAAAGCAGGCAACTGTTAACAAATAAAGAAAAACGATTTTTGTATTGCTTCTGTAACCTACCTCAAAGATACGTGATTTCCTTGCTCGAATTGAGATTTTTAGTAGTGAAAACGATATTATGCTGTGGAGTCGGAAATCAAATTTGACATACCTACTTACATTAACAAATCCTGAAAATTTCAAGCCGCTTTTACGTGAGAGTGAGAGTGAGAATTTCATATCAAACTTGTTTTGTATAATGAAATAACTTCATTTAACAAATCCTGAAAGTTTCAAGTTGCTGATATCGCTAAAAGTATTTTTCAGGAAGTGATTTTACAGGAATTTCATGATTTTCTCAAGTATCAATGAGTAAAAAAATTCGTAACTTTAGTTGTGAGGTTCATATCAACTTCCAACTTGTTTTGTATCATGAACAAACTTCATTTAACAAATTCTGAAAGTTTCAATTTGCTGGGGTGGCTGAAAGTATTTTTCAGGAACCTTCGAAGGTGATAGTACAGAAATTTTATGATTTTCTCAGGTATCTAATGAATAAAAAAATTCGTAACTTCAGTTATGAGTTTCATATCAACTTCCAATTTGTTTTTTATCATGAAGGAACTTCATTCAACAAATTCTGAAAGTTTCAAGTTGATCGTATGGCTAAAAGTATTTTTCACGAAGTGATTTTACAGGAATTTCATGATTTTCTCAGGTATCAATGAGTACAAAAATTCGTAACTTTAGTTGTGAAGTTCATATCAGCTTCCAATTTGTTTTGTATCATGGAGAAACTTTATTCAACAAATTCTGAAAGTTTCAATTTGCTGGGGTGGCTGAAAGTATTTTTCAGGAACCTTCGAAGGTGATTATACAGAAATTTTATGATTTTCTCAGGTATCAATGAATAAAAAAATTCGTAACTTTAGCTATGAGTTTCATATCAACTTCCAACTTGTTTTGTATCATGAAGAAACTCTATTTAACAAATTCTGAAAGTTTCAATTTGCTGGGGTGGCTGAAAGTACTTTT